AAAAGTCAGCATGAAACTGAAACTTTGATTGATTTGTCCATTTGGAACATTTATCTGAGTGATAAAATGAAGAATGAGAGAAAATGTTGGATGGGATTTGTTTTCGTCCATCAAGAATTGATTGGATATTTTGATCACAGTTGTTTGCTAATTGCTGTGATCTCATTTGAATGACAAGTTCCTGGATTAGAGGGATTATTGTAATTGCCAAGTATGTAAAGTTTGCATTAAATGACAATTTATCTGTTTTTTTTTTTTTTTTTGGTAAATGCATGTTATTGGTCTTATTGTGAGCGATCAATCCATGTATACATATAAAAAAAAATTTTCATCTTGTAATGTTTAATCAAAATGTCATAACTTTATCTTGCGGTAAAATGACAGATGTCTCCAATGATTTACAGTTGTCTGTTTAAACCCCGTCCCTCTATAATCGACTGCAAGCCTACATCTCATAATCCAGTCAACAACCGATGGATAGAACCAAGTCCCCGCCCTGCATTTTTATGATCATTTCTATAATTTGTTACACTCAGATAATTTGCTTTACTCATACTTCACAATAGGAAAGAAAAATAAACATTTTATAATCATTGTAATTTTAAAATAAATATTAGCAAACCGCTTCATGGAGCTGCTATATCTAATTGGTGCATATGTTGTTTTACAGGCTCTGATGTGGTTGACTGGCTGTTTCATCACGTGGAGGGGTTTGCAGATCGCCGTGAAGCACGAAAGTACGCCAGCAACCTGTTGAAAGCCGGCTTCATCCGCCACACTGTCAACAAAATCACCTTCTCAGAGCAGTGCTACTACATCTTTGGAGATCTTTCTGGCAGTAAGTACTTTCACCACTACAGTTCATTTTCTGTTTATGTAGTTGTATAAATATTCTAGTGCTGTTTGGTGTAGTCCTGTCAGTACAAGGAAAAATTATATTTGTAGCTCTCCAGAGCCTAATACATCATTTGTCCCAGTGAGTTTAGTCATCTTTATTACCAGCACTGTTAGTGTTAAATTTGTCAGCTGGTTTTTTTTTGTTTTTTTTTTTTTAGACTTTGTTCTGTGTCAGATGTCCTTTTTAGTTTTTATCATATTTAGTCATTCTGTCCTGTTTTTTGTTCAGTCAAGTTGTAGTTGACTAAAAGTCTGGGAACTTTAGTCTAGGTTTAGTTGATTACAATTTTTAGTCATGATATGATTGCATAATTGTTAAATTGTTAAACTAAATCACAATTAATTTACTCAAAATTGTAATTGTAATTGCGATTACTGATCATGACCGTTGTCGTTTGAGAAATGCACCAGAATTATTGCGCTTTCACCTTAATGCATACACATGGTTTATTTTACCTCATCTTGTTTCCTGATTTATTATATTATTAATCTAAACACACTCTCATTATGAAAACGGTTAAAACTAAACAGCTTCTCTCAAAACAGTATCATTTCTAATATTAATTCCAAATTATATTCATGTCTTTCTATTAAAACAACAAAAAATGCTTTCATTTCAGCAGAATATTTCGATTGGAGATCACTAAACTCAACATACAAGTTTGTCGATGTTTCCATATCATCAGTGCTTTTTCTGTAGTGTAAGAGAGAATGAACCGTTGCCAGGTTGTGAAGATAAAGAAAAACACAGGGCAGAAAATGTGTCCTTTTTAAAAGAGAAGCTCTGATAGGGGGATTTAAACTCTTGACATCTGGCAACCCCAAGCATGGAAACATGTTGAGGTTGATGTTTTTTTCTCCTCTTTATTTAGTTTAAGAAAGTGTTAACATCTTTTTTTTTTTTTTTGTCAACAATAATGCAAGTTGATATAGTCAGAGGTTTTAATGATGTCATTGTCATTTCAACTTAAATGGTCATCAGCAAATATTTTTCGTTAACGAAATAGTCACTGTACATTCAGTTTTACATTGTGCTGACACTCTTATCAACGTTGACTGTGTTTTGTTGTAGACATGGCCCATCTTTCACTGCATGAGCACGACGGATCCAGCGGGGCGTCTGATCAGGACACTCTCGCTCCATTGCTTCACCCTGCTGAAGCTCCCTGGCCCACCGCGTTCCCTTACCAGTACCCACCAGCCCATTGCCTCCCGGATGCAACTCACAGCTACTCTGAAGCCGGTGGAGGCAGCGCAGGCAGCCAGCACAGCGAAGGTGAGTAACCTCAAATCACGCTGCTAACAACCTCAAACAGCGGCTCACTTACGCTAGCGTTACTGTCCGTAGGGAGCAGCGGTTCAAACTGCAGCTGGAGCCGGACTGAGGGGAAAACCACAGCTGGAGACTTCAGGTTAGGAGGAGGAAGCGAAATGGGAGACGCACACGAGTTTGACTTCCGCAGAGACAGAGCCCCCAGCGAGCGCTCGGTGCCGCCCAGTGAGGGCAGTGTGCGAAGCTCACGATCTCACAGCTACAGCCTGAAGCAGGGATCTGCACGAGCCGGCCCGGGGTCACCGTCCAGCCGCCACCTCGCCAGCATCCCCCCCGAACTCACGGGCTCCCGACGCTCGTGCAACACAGCCAATGGGGAGTTCTTCGTCGACATCATGTGACTGTTGCTAGAAGAAGTGCCCAAACTATTTTTTTGCCTTATAAATTACAAAAAAAGCCGATTAGAATTAGGATTAGTGCTGACCTAAAATTCAGTAGTTTGTGAGCCCCAACATCACTTAGGTCTTAGAAATGAGTCTACTAAAGCATAAGCAAACCGTTCATGCTTACAATAACAGATTAAGATGTTTTACTAAATGTACAAATTCACCTCAAAATAGTTGGGAAATGTTCTGTTGAAGAAAATGGAACGATTTCCTCTTATGGACAAAAAAAGAGTGTTTTTGAGAGAAATAGCAATAATTGAATGGGATTTAGTTACAACACTATATGGGTGTGAAGATTCAAGGTGAATGTAGTCCAACCAAGGACGTAAATGTCAGATTTCAAAATTTCTGTTGGCCTGTTTTAGTGCGTATTTGGAGGTTCTTAAGCCCTTTTAAAATGTTTACTCTCAGTCTCATGCAGATATTTCATTATTCATGGAAATTATTTTTACTGAGAATATATTTTTCAGTGTTTGTCAGCAATATTGTATTGGGAGAATTTTTGAAGTACCTTGTTAAGGAGATTTCTTTTTTTAATTTATAAATATAGTTTTATTGTGACATGCTTGGAGTACTCTTTTGTCTGTGTGTGTTTTATGGCTTCAGCTTGTGGAATGTGAAGGTTCTCGTCTTCATCTGGAATCCAGATGTTTCTGGGTTTATGTCTCTGTCCACATCTGCTTCCATTGTTCATCGGCTAATGTTCATCAACCTTTTTTAAGAGCTTAAAAAGGTCGTCTCGCAAGTATTGAATGGTAGTATTGGTATTAATGTTGGGACAGTTTGCTTTGGAAGTCTTTAAAAGAACTTACTGCCGGCTAATATGTAGTGTTTTCTGGATAACGTGAAGTTACAGGTGAGTAAATGAATTGAATATATTCAGTTTCTCCATTAACGCACCCCACAACAATGCTCTTTATTTAATTATGCAGCGTTAGGATGGCAAATTAGATACTTTATTATCTTTTGAAAGCGAGAAGAACATTTTTTTGTTTTTGGCACCAAATTGTAACAAATTAATTTAAAAGCTAGTCAAATTAGAATGATGCCAACAAAAGCATGACCTCATCCTTGAAAACCAGTAACAAAACTAATCCACCTTCTTCTTCTTGTAAAAATGGGGGCGGCCATTTGTAAATTCTATGGGTCTGGCTTCCGGTCTCATCTGCGTCCACTCCGTCCAGCTATTTTTAGCTGAACAAAACAGTTCGTTTTGCTGCTTGATATTGAAAGTTGGTGCGTCTTGTATTATTTTATGTATTATCTTAATTATGAACACACTGGTTTGTAGTGCAAACAGTTTTACCGGTTACTACATGTTGTTATTCTCCTCGTTATTTACCTATAGCGGCTAATGAACCGGAAGTCTCACCCATAGGGTTACTTCCGCGTTGAAGAAAACGGTGGATACAAACCATGTGCAACAAGTTTGAACTTGATTTGTGTCAACCACAATGTGTTTTGTGCAGTTATCAACAGCATGAAACCATCAAAATTCAGGTGACATTTAGGGACCAAACACTTAGTATGTTAGTGTTGCTTGATTGATTGATATACTTTTTTTTTTCAAATGTTTAATCACTCCTTCTAGAGTGTTCATTCATTAATTCATTCATGAGTCAAATGCCACTTTATTAATCTTCATCACTGGAATTTGGAAAAATATTTTTCTAATTAAGTTTGACCTAATAATCTAAAATAAAAGTAACTGGTCTTTTATTGACCTTTGTTCTAATATAAATATGCATGGATGCATATTTACCTGCGTATTTCTAATCTATTAAATATATGGACATGAAAATACACTGGACATTTGAGTCGGAATTATTTTATTTACTTGCAATTTTTTTTCAAGAAAAATATTTCAGGGAAAAATAATCGTACTAGCAAAAAAGACTGCATCAGTATCCACAAAATGAAATATATTATTAATCTGCAATCCAAGTACGGTTATTACGATAATCTCTTCAGTGTTTTGCTTCGGTTGCCTGGATACAGCGTTCTAATTTATTCATGACGTCATACGCAGAAACGGCAGAAAAAGACCGCGGTTTTGTCACCGAGTCATTTTCAACGAGAAAGCGACCGAGTAATTTCATAATCCTTTATCCCTTATTTCATTACATATTTCCATAGGTCAGGCAAAGTGTGTATTTCTAATGACTGCATTCGTTTCTAGAAAACATGTCTGGAAATTAATTATTATTATTAGGGTTGTGTGTAACGTTAATGTTTGTTAAAGTCGTGCAGGATAAGTGACAGATAACTTATTTGTCTAGTATTTTCCGAAGAATAGTCTTGACTTGTTCAGCTGCATCTCAGGTGGAGAAAGTGAACATGAATATGTAGTGCTTTTGGGTTTACTGGAGTTTGCTCTGTATATACTTCAAACATGACTACAGCTAGCACATAGCGTCTTCTAATAGAAATATCTAAATTAGCTTGTGCTTCATTCTTCACTGCAGGTCAGAACAACAACTGAACAGCCCTTGAAGGAGCATCTGAAGATGTTTTTGATGGATATTTGATGTTTTGCAACTGATAGACTCGTATCAGCAAATCCTACTATGAGATATTCATAGGTATATATTTTCTCTGTTCTTGTTACTTACTAACTAACCATGAGACGAAGAAACACTTTTAAACAAGCACCACAGAATGGGAACTAAAATAACACCCAATGTTTTTGCCCAATAGACAAGAAGAATGTGCCAACCAGGGGTAAAAAAGGAAAGTATCTCAAAAACGTAAAAAACGACAAAATGAAGGTAAGTCACAATACTGCGGACGGATACAGGGACACGGGATCCGCAAATGATCGAAAAAGAAGCCTTGAATCATTTTAACCTCTGATCCAAAGGTAAATAATATACAGATAAGTAACATACAGATCAAACTCCAGTACAGAACTCAAAGGAATGTAATTTCCCATAGCAGATCAGAAACTGCATAAGAACACCCTTAAAGGAGCATCTGAAGAAGCTTCTAATGGCCAACTGATGAAGAGCTGCTTCTGTGCCAGCAAATCCTACTATATTGCATCTATAGGTAGGCCTATATATTTTCTCTCAAAGCTTTGGATGGCAGCTTTCAACCAGAGGAGCTCACATTTAAACCAAACACCTTTCACACCTAATCATTTCTTGCCGATAAATCCATAGAAAAATGGAAACGTGACAAGCACAAATGAAACATGGGCAGATAGTAACAGTGAGGTCATTTTAACCTCTGATCCAACGGTGAGAAAAATAATATACAGACAAACAACATTCAGATCAAACTCCAGGACGGAAGTCATGGTCATGTACTTCACCTGAGCCAAACACGTCAACGTGTCCCGTGTTACTGCTGCTTTCACACTATCTTATTTGGGGCAGAACAATCAAACCTTTCATTTTGTAGTGAGAAAGAAACAGTGGATTGGCGACAGACGCTACAAATGATAACATTCCTGTTGATCTGCTTTTTCAGTGTTTAAAAGTTTTTATTTAATGGTCTAAACTAGTGGTTCTCAATTGGGGGGCCGGGGTCCACTAGGGGGCCTTAGCAAACTTCCAAGGGGCCACATCAAACTAATCCAAATTAAACTGAAATTATATTTATTTTTATTTCCCCTCAATAACTATTGTTTATATTGAAGAACATAGCTTATTAAAAGAAATACCAATATAACTTCTGGAATCACCAACTGAAACATGCTTCATTGCTAAAAAAATTTTTGCTGCTAAAAAGAACATTATTTTGTGTATTTGGTGTAATGAAATGTGTTTATGCGGTTTAAGGTTCAAAACACATTATTTTCCACATACTGTACATTATTGTTTCTCCTCTATGCCCCGCCTTTCTGAAACGCGTCGATTTTTACAAAGCTCATCGGTCTGAAAAGCGAGGTGGGCTGTGATTGGCCAGCTATCCAGTGCGTTGTGATTGGCCGAATACCTCAAGCGTGTGACGGAAATTTTACATCCCTTACCATATTGTGATGCCTGCGGCAACCACATGTGACGACCCCGGGCTGGACTCCGTTTCGTCCACGGTGAAAGAGAGAAAGGAACAATTGAAATCGCATCATATGACCCCTTTAAATGAATTAAGGTTGCTTCCTTGCTTCAAATCAAAAAAGTAGAGAACCCCTGATCTAAACAGTGTTGAATGTAAGAGCTGTTGGTGTCTGACCACAGGGAGGCAGTGTGACACATCAAATGAAATGGCCAAATATTGTACCGCTTTAGCTCTGGTCTACTGCTGACCTTACTGTACAGCTCTATCCACTATTTATTAGCCCTCTTGGAATTGCTCAGTTTATTCTGTTTTGTATCACAGTCAGATTTAGCTGTCCATTTGTTCGAGCTGGTTTGCTGTGCAAAATTAATTCTAAATGAACAGATACATCAATATGTCGAAAACTATGTAGGAAATGCTGATATACAACTAAACAATTGCAGAAAGACAAAAGGACAAAACTGCTATGTTAATAAAATCATCTTTAACCCTATAAAGCGTACTGTATCATATTTCTTGGGCTTCTAAATGATCAACATGATCGAAAAACCTGTTGTACACAATCTACTAAATGACTTCTGTTGATATGTTATATTTAAAGACGAACACTTACTGTACTGAAGCAACTTAGGTTTACTTAATTATCCATGTATCATTATTTAGAAAGCCAAATATTAAATGTCATACATCAGGCTTTGAGCAATGTTTATTTGTTCATCTCTTAATCATAAATGTATATTGCACAGCAATTATGTGTTTCGCCCCCCACAAATAAAGCAATTATGCATTAATTATCATCTTACTAAGACATAGTATTGGGAGATATAGAGTGACATCTGACATTATGCATTTTATATAAGTAGTCTGTTATACTGTTACAAAGATCTCATTGATTTACATTACAAGCTATCAGAATTTCATTTTACTTTTTGGCTGTTTCTCTAAGAAAGTTGAAATTATGTCTAAGACTTTTTTTTCCCAACATCCCACCATGTGACTGAACAGCCGGACAAAATAAATAAAGAAGCCCATAACATAACTTCCTGAACTCAGTGTTCCAGAGTGCTTTATTTACAGAAACACAAGCAAACTTTGGTCTGGGGTGGTGATTTCAGAAGTTTCTGAAACTATTATTCATTCACACACCAACCGCAGGTTATTTCCATCTGTCAGATATCTGAACACACGGGTTATACAGGATAGAATTATTAGAAATGTACACACACATTCCATTTACAGTCAAAGTTCAGTCATAATTTCATTATTAACTGTTTTCCCTTAGATATTAAAGCAATAGTTTTCAAATTAAAATTCTGTATTTATTCCCATTCATGTCCTTTCAAACTGTTCTTTGCTTTGAATTACAAAAATGAATTTCTGTAGAACCAACATGCAGCATTTTAGAGTGAACTATGCCTTTAAAGGGTTAGTTAGTTCACCCAAAAATGAAAATTCTGTCATTAATTACTCACCCTCGTGTCGTTCCAAACCCGTAAGACCTTCGTTCATCTTCGGAACACAATTTAAGATATTTTTGATTAAATCTGAGGGCTCTCTGACCCTCCCATAGACAGCAAGGTAACTACCACGTTCAAGGTCCAGAAAAGTACCAAGATGATCGACAAAGTAGTCCGTGTGACATCAGTGGTTCAACTGTAAAGTTACGAAGCTACGAGAATACTTTTTTGTGCAAAGAAAACAAAAATAATGACTTTATTCCACATTTTCGTCTCTACTGCGTCACTTTGGACGCGTGTTCACGACAGTACCATGACGCGAGCGTGTGGCGGCGGGTTTTTTTTTTCTTTGCACAAAAAAGTATTTTCGTTGCTTCGTAACTTTGCAGTTGAACCACTGATGTCACACGGACTACTCTGTCGATCATCTTGGTACTTTTGCTGTCTATGGGAGGGTCAGAGAGCCCTCATATTTCATCAAAAATATCTTAAATTGTGTTCCGAAGATGAACGAAGGTCTTACGGGTTTAGAACAACACGGGGGTGAGTAATTAATGACAGAATTTTCATTTTTGGGTGAACTAACCCTTTAAGAACAGCACAAAGAGACTAATGACCAAAATGTATTCATGTGACAAACACAGACGCATGCTTGTACATAATAGCATTGATGTGCTTTGAATTAATGAGTATGTTCAGCACTAGACATGTTTTGCACAGATGTAGTCGAGTCCAGTCCCAGTAGCGTTCCTAAGTAAGACTGCTCTCGAGGGTCCAGCATCTGGTCGGGCCGCACCGGGTGCACGATGTTGGTCGGCTGAGGCGTGAGCGTGTACTTTTCTAAGAACACTAGGTCAGTGGCGGACTGGTAGCCTGTCTGTTGTTGCTGGCTCACAGCTGGAAGGACCCCATGTGGCGTCCTGTGCACAGCAAGACCGCTTTCCTCAGTCATCTGGACGGGGACGAGCGTCACAGGGACGCAAACGTCAGCCGCCACACTCTGCAGCACAGTCTTAGGTGTGTTGTGGTACGGTTTGGGCGTTTCGTTTGACAGCAGCGGCTCGGTGAGCTTGCTAGCGGGGGCCGCAGGCAGGTTCGGCTGGTGCTGCTCGAGCGGGCGGCCGCTGTGCACATGGTCCACGTGATACTTGAGCTTGTCCTTACGCTTGAAGGTAGCGCTGCAGTGCGGGCAGTTGAAAGGACGTACATCTGAGTGAATGACCATGTGCTTGGTCAAAGTCTTCTTGATGCGGAAGGTCTGGTTGCAGATCACACACCGGTGGGGTTTCTCACCTGAGCAGAGCAAAATACTGGATCAGGAAAAAAGCTGTGGAGCAGAAATGCCATAATCTGCCCTTAAAGGTGACATATCATGAAAATCTGACTTTTCCAGGTTTTAAGTGCTACAGTGGGTACGGAAAGTATTCAGACCCCCTTAAATTTTTCACTCTTTGTTATATTGCAGCCATTTGCTAAAATCATTTAAGTTAATTTTTTTTCCTCATTAATGTACACACAGCACCCCATATTGACAGAAAAACACAGAATCGTTGACATTTTTGCAGATTTATTAAAAAATTGTAAAAAGGGGCATAATATGTCTCCTTTAAGGCAAGACACTACAGTCGAAAACATTGTTATTTCATGCATTGGTCTATTTGTCTATTTCATGAAATGTTATTTTATTACACTTTATCTATTTGCATTCTGTAGATTTCAATTACAATTTTATCTTTAAAAGGTATTTTGTCAAAATTATTTTTTTCTAATGAGCCAGAAATCTGCACTTCAGTAGCACTTACACCAAACCTGACAGTTTTTATATTTCTATCTATATTCTGAAGTTATGTTCATATATGTATTTGCCTGATTTTACACAATATTTCATTATTTAAAAAGAATTCTGGTTGCTGACAGTATTTTCTGATTTAAGGAGTGTCATAAAGAGATATCGAAAATCTCCTCTGTAAAAACCTTAAGAAAATTAAACACAAATTTTGAACCTGGCTTTATCCAATTTCTGTTCTGGAAATGTATGCAAATGAGTACATCTGTAATTAGATAATAATTAGATTTAAACATACCATTTCAGAAAACTTGTGATACAAAAAATGTTTTCAATTCTTAATGTAATCAGTCAACTAGGGAAGTATGGTGAGATCTATTAGTTACATTTTTTATTGTCACAATTTTTATTTTTGTTGATTTGATTTAATAGTTTGGTGTCACTAAGACTGATCAAAAATATGGTAAAACAGTAATATTGTGAAATATTAAAATTTAAACTGTTCTCTATGTGAATCCATTTTAAAATGTAATGCAAAGTGTGATGCAAAGCTGAATTTTCAGCATCATTGCTCCAGTCTTCAGTGTCACATGATTCTTCAGAAATCTTTCTAATATGCATTCTAATATTTATTCTAAGTAATATTTTTGTGGAAACCATGATACATTATTTGATGAATAGAAAGTTCAAAAGAACAGCATTTATTTGAAACATAAATCTTTCATAAAGTCTTTAATGTCACTTTCAATCATTTGAATAAAAGTATTCATTTCTTTCACAAAAAATATTTTGAATGGTATTGTATTTTACCTGAATGTGTTCTGAAATGCGACATGAGGTTGGTCTTCCCCCTGAACTCTTTCTTGCACACCTGACACTGATGCACCACTGCTTTGTACCTGTCAAAAGTTAGTACATGATCATGAAATCACAGATCTCATATGATCAACATCACCTGCAGCCATTGTTTTATATTGCATAACAAAGACTGAATGTCATCATCATCTTCACAAAAACAACAGGTCTCAGTTCACAACACGTGTACGCACATGACTTTGTTTTTAACCATGTACTAATGTTTGGAGTATACTAAATAAGCGGTTGTGTGCATAAAGTTAGTCATTTGCATAAAACACACCCAAAACAATCGCCATATAAGGGCTTTGCACACAACCTTTCGTCACACTGGCAAACACATGACAGTCAGTAAAAACCTTGAGAAATGCCATCCTCAAAACCAGTTCAAACACAAGAAATACATTTAATGCAGCTGTACATACACCTATAGCTACATTGTTATTCAGAGAAACCTCACAGCCCAAATTACATCACAGCTTTTCTTACTCCTCCTCTGTATATAATAAAATATATTTAAGCTGAAATATAAATTTCATATAAACTACATATATATTCTACTTAACACATTTATAAGGCAGAATGCATTTTTTTTTTTTTGCATATGTGTGCTTTCAGTTCCTTTTTTTTTGTGTGTAAATTTAGAGTCAATTTTAGAATGAAAGTTTAAGGTGAATCATGATTTGTTGGTGAAAATGTTTGTATGCAACCTTCACTCACAAATTTGTGCGTACGCATGCTTACAGAATGAGACCCAATGTGTCTTTTTGTTTCTGAAATCGATTTTGGTATACCTTCGCCAGATCTTCTCTCCCAGATGAATGCTTTTATAATGGACAGTCAGGTGATCAGCACGTCGGAAGCATTTTCCACACTCTTCACACTGGTGTGCTCTCTCCCCTACACACACACACACACACACACACACAAAAATGTTACAAGACTTCTTATACGGTACATGCACTTTAATGCACTTTTTGAATACGTTAAGCAGTCATGAGAAGGATGAAGCATCTCATATGGAGAGTCTAATACTGAACTATTAACAACGCTCTAGGTGGATTTTACAGTTTTTTTGCCTTAAAGGGATAGTCCACTCAAAAATGAAAATTTTAGTAACCAAAGTTTTGGTCCCCATTGACTTCCATTATATTTTTGACCAGACAATGGAAACCTGTTTGGTTACCAACATTCTTCAAAATGTATTTTTTTCATACAGGCCATACAGGTTTGGAACAACATAAGGGTGAGCAACCCGAATTTTTACTTTTGGGTAAACTATCTTTTTAAAGGGGTCATGAACTGCCTTTTTTATTATTTTGTACTGTTCTCTGAGGTCCACTTATAATGTTATTAAATTGTACATCAAAAAACATCATAATTTAGAAGTAATAGGCTATTTTCTGCTGTTGAACGCTCTGTTTGAATAGGCGTGGTAGATTGTCGACTCGGAAGTAAACGCCCACTGCTATGATTGGCTAACAGCTGCGTGTTTGACAGCTACATCCTTCACAGATGGACGCTGCTGTGATTTAGGTTAAAAACGCATAAATACTCAGCACATATAAACGATCTGTAATAACAGACAAAAGCAATAGTGACCACGTAATAAAAACAGTTACTCACATTCGTGTGGTGCGACATTACGAATCAGTGGGCGGGGCTAAACAGGCAGTGCTGTAGAAGCAGGCGTTGATCATCTTCTCCGGAGGCGGGGTTTAGCCACACTATTACGTCATAAAGTGGCACATTCCACAAGCTGTCGTTTTGGCAGATTGGCTTCAATATAAGCTGATTTTAGACTAACGAGTACAGTGACCTCTTATATGTAAAAAGATCAAGGGAATTTTGATTTCTCAGTTCATAACCCCTTTAAATCTACATTTTAAAAGCTAGTCCTCCATATAGACATTTAAAGCATAACAGAAGCACTCCTGACATGATGGCTGTTGAACAGTTATGCTACCTTGAATTAACTTGGCATATGATATAGCATGTTAAAATTTATTTCATTTATTCATAATGTATATATGGGTTTTCTGAGACGACAAACAAAAATGCAACTTGAATTTGAATCTGAAAAATACCTGTGTGAATTTTTTTGTGTTTCTTTAGATGATCGTGGCGGATGAACGTTTTGCCACATTCGTCACATTCATAGCGCTTGTCCTCATGATGAACGCGAAGGTGAAGCCTGAAACAAAACAGCAACAGTAATAAACAACACTATCACATGTCATGTTCTGTCCCATTACTTTTAATCTTGTTCAAATGTTTGGGGTTAGTACTTTTTTTTAGAAAGAATAATACTTATATTGATCAAGACAGCATTAAATTAAACTAAGCATTTATGTTGTTACAAAACATTTCTGTTTCAAATGAATGCGGTTGTTTCCACACATACACACACACAAAAAAATTAACAGGAAAAAACGTTTTCAACATTGATAATAATAAGAACCAGTATTAGTAATTGAGCACCAAATGATTTCTAAAGGATCATGTGACACTGAAGACCGAATGCTGAAAATTCAGCTTTGCATTACAAATTACATTTTAAAATATATTCAAATAGTAAACAGTTATTTTAAGTTGTATTAATGTTTACAATATTACAGTTTTTACTGTATTTTTGATCAAGTAAATGCAGTGTTGGTGCGCAGAGGAGATTTTCAAAAACAAAAAAATTCTGAACTTTTGAATGGTAATGTATTTCAAGGAAAACACAACTAGTAAAGACGTGTATATTCCTGATTTAAGTTTTATATGTTGCTTGCTTAACTATTCATCTGTACATATTCTCTCAGATCATGTTTCATCTTAAAGGGTTAGTTCACCCAAAAATGAAAATTCTGTCATTAATTACTCACCCTCATGTTGTTCCAAACCCGTAAGACCTTCGTTCATCTTCGGAACACAATTTAAGATATTTTTGATGAAATCTGAGGGCTCTCTGACCCTCCCATAGACAGCAAGGTAACTACCACGTTCAAGGTCCAGAAAAGTACAAAGATGATCGACAAAGTAGTCCGTGAGTCAACTGTAAAATTACGAAGCTACGAGAATACTTTTTTGCGCAAAGAAAACAAAAATAACGACTTTATTCCACATTTTCGTTTCTACTGTGTCACTTGTGGACGTGCATTCACGACAGTATCATGACGCGAGCGTGTGGCGGCGCTGACCCAGATCCGGTGTGATGACATCATTACGTCAGATCTGGGTCAGCACCGCCACACAGAATGACACAAAAATGACAGAATTTTCATTTTTGGGTGAATTAACCCTTTAACATACAGCAGATCAATACTCTCACAGACCTGTAGGAGCTTCCGTGACGGAAACTTTGTCCGCAGATGCTGCACAAGTGAGGTTTCTCCCCACTATGGATCCTCAGATGCTCCCTGAGGGTTGTCCTGAAAATATGTTTGAAGATAAGCAGAGAACAGCTTGTATTTGAATAAAACATCCAATCATTATTGCATTTGCATACAGTTTTGGTAACATCACTGCCTAACAGCAGCTTCATACCTCTCTCGAACTGATTTGCCGCACAGAGAGCAGGTCCATTTCCTCTTCCCCCCGTGTGTGCACTCTATGTGACGTTTGCGGTTGCCCGTGTCATTAAACTGACGACCACAGATGTCACAAGGGAAGGGTCCTGGATATTGGACATTTTGTCAACATTAAAGGAATGCTCAATACAAGTTCAATGCAAGTTCAACTCATCTGGTTCATTAGCAATAAAAGTTTGGGTAAAGCTTTACCTAAATGGAATTTTTCTTGGTGCTTCAACCGGGCAAATCGTGACTTAAAGTAGTCGTCACAGTAGGCACACTTGAAGGGCTTGTCCTGTGAATGTAAGATCATGTGCTCCTCCAGATGGGGGCGACGACTGAAGGACTTGTGACAGATCTACAAAAGCAGCATCAGGAAAGAAATTATACTAACAACTGTAAAATTGTTTGCAAACAGAATTTGGATGTAGTGCATAAAATAAATCAAATAAATAACCAGGCAAATAACTCACGTCACATTTCCAGCCTTCACTCTTCTTCTTCTTCTGAGTGAGAAACTCCTGGAGGTGGTCGGGATGAAATCTGTTAGCAGACAATGTGTTGGACTTTGATCACATACTACTGAGGCGAGGAAACTAAATATTTAATTAACAATACAATAGATGGCTACAGGAACATGTAAAAACTGAATAGGAAACATAATGTAAACAAAACAGAAGAATGGACCCGGTTGGCATTTCCTGGAATCTTAGAAGCAGATCGGAGTGAATGGGAGACTACACATTTTTCCAATAGCAAAATTTTAATAAATACATAAAAATCCATCATAGCGTTTCCACAGCTTTCCAAAAGAGGACAAATATAGACAAATTTAATATGGCAGTCAGAACAGAAAGAGACATCAAATTTAAGTAATATAGTAATATAATGTAATATAGTAAGTAAAGTAATATAACGCACACAGTACGGTATAATAATTGTGTATTAAATAAAAAAAATATATAAAATAAAATATACAAAAACTTTAGATTTACTACATTTAAAATGTTAATAACTGTGGAAAGGCATAATCACAGTTTGTGAAAATGTTCCATTTATTAATTTAGTAGACAGAGTACATAAATGCCATCTCTTAAAGGGAAAGTTCACCTAAAAATAAACATTCTGTCATCATTTACTCGTCCTCATGTCATTACAAACCAAAACAAACCACACAAAACAGTTTTGGTTCCCAATGACTTCTAGTGTATGGTCAAAAAATATAATGGAAGAAAGGAAAAAAATTGTTTGGCTACCAACATTCTTCAAAATATTTTCTTTTGTGTTCCACAAAGTAATACTCACTCCAAAGATGGTATGATCCTGACATTGCTTTAACTTGTGCTGATTTAAGTCGTATTCCACTCCAAAATCGACAGAAAACCAAAATGATATTTTACTTTATATTTTATTTTAAAGACCATGTTTTCATATGTTGTAGTTTTGAGTTTTTTTTAAAATGCTGATTATCTCATTGATGATTATTAAAGTTGGGGGCGCACTACATTCCCTTCACATCCGGTGAGGCTGTCTATACTGCCATGAAACTTCTTGATAACATTATGTACGGAACAAGGAACTTCAGGTTCTCTGGAGATGCGCTTGTAGCCTTGAGAGTGTCCATGCCTGGCTATAATGTTGTGTCTGACCGCCTCAGATAATTCTTAGCTTTTCTTTCTTTTGTCGATGCTCACTGCAGTACACATAATGTCACAAAACAGGAGAATGAGACACTTTCTCTATTCAAACTGGCTCATCACATATATGTGATTGGAAATGGAACAGGAGAATTGAATCACTTGCTTTGCTTGAAATGGAAATATTTGTAACTAGTTTGCCAGTATCTTATAAATTTAAGTATAAATTTTTTGCATCATACTATTGAGAAACAAGCTCATGAAATTAACATTGCAATGCAAAAGCAATCTTAATCAATAAAATAGGCTCGATTTTCTAAATGCAAAATGACATTTTCATATTTCTTTTCTGTGTGGAATATGAGCTGGATATGTTCTGGACAGGTTTTGTTGAATCCTCACTCACCTCTTGACATGTCTGCTGAGAGTCTTCTTGCTGGCATGAAGCTTGTTGCAGAAGGGACACTTGTGCTCTTTCCTCTGCACGGGCGAATCACTGTCATGTTTCTTCTTGTGCACAGTGAGGTTTGATTTGGTGGAGTAGCACTGGAAACAGATGTCACACTGGAAAGGTTTTTCTCCCGTGTGTACTCTGGTGTGACTCTCATATTTACCTACAAAATGAGGAAAAAGCAAAGCAATGACTTGGACAGAGACAACTGTAACTGTACAAACTCTGATAAATGCCATTACAGCCACAATAAAAAAAAAAACAGCATTTATTTCATTTTTACATTTTTTTGTAAGAAATTATAATAAACGTTTAAGCCAAACTGCTTAATAAAGTTTTCTTTTCAGGAATGTAATTATTTTAAAGGCGTTTCCTTCCTTATGATATCAGGACAGATGCAACATGACATTTTTGACCTTATGCCCCAAAAATATCTAAATTAATTTTAATACAGAAATAAAAACATGCTCATCGTTGAACAGGTGTATTCAAGTCTTAGCATGTATGTTCAAATGCTTGGGGTCAGTAAGATTTTTTTTGTTTGTTTTTTGGAAAAAAACTTTACACATTAAGTTTTTTTAAATTACGTTTTTACATTGTTACAAAAGATTTCTATTTCAAATAAATGCTGTTCTTTTAAACTTTCCTTTTATCAAAAACTCATGAAAAAATATCATGGGTTTGGCAAAAATATTAAGCAGCACAACTATTTTCACCATAGATAATAATAATAAATATTTCTTGAGCAGCAAATCAGCATATTAGAATGATTTCTGAAGGATCATGTGACACTGAAGACTGGAGTAATGATGCTGAAAATCCACAGAAATAAATTGTATTTTAAAACACCTCAAATGGAAATTTTTAAATAGTTTTTACTGTATTTTTGATCAAATAAATGCAGCCCTGGTGAGCACAAGAGACTTCATTCGAAAACATTGAAAAATTGACCCCAGACTTTTGGTAGTGTATGAACTTCATTATTAATATACTTTTTAATAAATAAACAAATAAGACAAAATGCTGGTCGTGTCACTGATCCATCCGTCAGCCTTCACATTATAGCTCTCACCTATGCGATCAAAGGTCTTGTCACATTTGGGACACTTGAGAGTCTTCTTGTTAGAGCTCTGGATCATAACGGGAGCCAGTCCTTCAGGAAACACGTGAGCGGTGAGCTCCGTGGCTTGGCTGTGCTCCTCAACAGCATGGCTGGATGTCGGTTCGGCCTGCTTCTGGGCTTCAGCCTGCTCTACAGCCTCATGTTCCTCCTCTTGCTTCTCACTATCTTCACATTCTGCCTCCTCGACCGTTTCTTCTCGCCCCTCTTTACTACTTTGCTCATACTGTAGCTCTTCCTCACTTTCCTCCTCCTCGGCATCATGCGTTGGAGTTTTTTGACCAGATTTTCCAGCCAGGACCTGGCCATTTTCGCTCTCGAATTTAGCAGGGGTCCTCCTCTGACGGGCCGATCTGCGGGTAGTGACCGCAGATGTGCTTGCCATGTTTTGCTCGTCCTCAACTTGGCAGCCAGCGCTGTGCGACTTAGCCAGGTGATTCTCCAGAGACTTCTTGTAGCAGAAGGTACGACTGCAAAAAGAGCATTGAGCTCCTGCTGAAGCCTGGACATCTGGAGTCTCCAGTGGAACCTGCTGAACATCACTTTCTTCATCAACATGAGCTGGTGTCGCCCGCTTCGCTAAAAGATTTACAGCTTCCATCATCTCCAGAAAACAGGCAGCCTCGGCCAAAGCAGGAATCTGGCTTTCTGAAACATCAAATTCAGACGTGTACAGGAAGTTGAGCAAATGTCCAAAGATGGAGACCTCGATGTTATCAATGGTAACATGGTGCAGTTCAGCGCTTTCGCTGAATTTGGCATGAAAATAGCCACTGCCAAAAGCCAAAACCACCTTGTGGGCACGATACATCTGGCCACAGACCGTGACAGTTATGTCACAGAACGATGGCAGCTTCTGCCGGTCTTCGTTCAAGAACTTCAAGAAACAGCCATCAGTTTGGGATATTATCAGATGCCTCTTTTCCTGTGAGGAATCTTTAATGGCCACGTCCGCATCGCGGCTGGCATCAGATGCTGTTTCTTTGCTGCTGATTTCTTTCACTTTTGTCTGCTGAGGTGCATTGACTCTCTTCTTCATGTTTAGGGTTTCCAACACAAAGATTCCACTGAAAAAGAGTCATACATGTTTATACAAACATTGATTATTCAGTAATGAACAGTGTTTTTGCATCAGTCTGCTCCACATGTTATTGTATTATGTTTGAGTACAAACTCCTGCTTCTTCTATTGCTGAGTCTTTGATTATGTTTTCATTTTTAACAACCATTATGTGAACAGTTACATAAAAATGTGTGCTGTCATGTAGTTTATTGTAAATATTGATCAATCTAGTCATTCCGCCGCTTTAAGAATGAATTGACAGTACATAATGGTTTCACGCCGTCTACTGTCTCCATCTACTGAAGGAAATCTGATGGAGTTGAGTTTACAGTATACAGTAAAAAAACATATTTTGCATCTCATTTGTATTTCATTGCCATTTTGTTTTTGTGGTGTTACTACTAATACAACTTTCTTAAATAAGGCAAATTATCTAAAAATCCCAAATAATTTTTGAAGAACAGACTCTGATATCATCTTTTTTGTTTTTCTTATGTATCTGATGCCGCTGACAACAAGTAGGGACACTGCTGTGAAACTGAAGAGATTTTTTGCGCCGTGCGAAAAAGGACAATGCAAATCTGAAGTAAACTACCCCTTACGGCCCCCCCCCATTATGTCATGCGCCCACAGGGCCCCTCCAGAACAGGAGTGCGTTGACAGACGACCACAAAATGGCCCGTGGCGAACTGCAAATAGTGACTAATTTTCCAGTTCCAGTCTTACCTTTGAAGAGAATAAACATGCGGTGGTGTTTTGAACAGGTCACTTATTTTGCCTTTGTAGACAAATAACAAAACACAGTTTTTTTTTTCGGATTATAAGACGCTTGTGTCCTTTTTCCATCGCTCGGGGTTCCGACGTCTCAACAAGCTGTTTTGTCATTGGCTGAAAGCGAAACGTCTTCCTGTTTCATATGTTAAAATAAATAACTTATTCATCCTCCGAAAATAACATTTATGTAACCTGAAATTTAATGAAAGTTAATAGTGTATGTGTTTTAATTTATAAATAACAACAACAATAAACGTGCCACAAAGTCGTCCAGATGAGGCATAGCATTGTGGGTAATGTAGTTGGCTATTTGGTGAATAGAATTAGCAGCTGTGTGTGCGTTATATATGCAACTTTCCCGCCCGAAATATCCCGTTCCAGTATGATTGTGTCTCACTCTGGTGTCATAAGCCATTTTTTCAACCAAAAAAAAAAAATCTACACAAAGGATCTTTGTTGCATTTGTAGCAGCAGGTAAAAGAAAGGTGTTTTCACTTACCGTCGCTTACAAGTGAACAACAGTGTGAAAATCCAACACTGAGCCTGTAAATGGTTTATTTTGATTGTACGATACCAATAACATCACCCACTGAACCCTTTGTAGGAAAACGATGAATACTTGCATACTTGCTGTGGTGGTCCTGAATTGTAATCTGACCAATTTTGGTCTTTAGCTCTATACCACCTGTTCAAATCAGTTTCTTTAAATTATAGCTTTTGAACCCTTTGTCCTATAAATGAATTTAGTTAATCTTATTACGTATTAATGTCTTACAGTAAGACTCCGCCCATTACAGTAGCCACCATTTTTTAAAATGTACTGTATTTTTGACTATTTTTGGTACTTCTCTTTCAAATTGTGTCCGGTTCTCACCAAATTTGGCTCGGATGACCATTAGACTGAACCAACTGAGCTGACTCTGTTCAAAAGTTATAGTTTCACAAAGTTAGCGATGTTGACCCGAAACTGGATGAATGGCTGTATCTCAGTAACACTTTAATCTACTGAAAGGAAACTTGGTAGGCTTCGTCAGCTCTATGAGCTGAGGGTACCTGCCAAATTTGGCGACAGCACCAACTATAGGTCATGAAATCTGAAAAATGGCTATTTTTGCTCATATGTAAAATACTTGACAAAAATGTGTCAACTTGGTGTCTACGAATTCCTTGGGTCATGCCAAGTTTTTTCCAGGATTGGATGAATTTCCTGTACATTGTTTTGAAATTTGGTGTAAATACTAATATATTTTCACTATTTTTACATATCTGCTCAAAATTAGTTATGGATCATTTACAGTTTGTACTGAAGGTGCCTGAGAAGTTTGAAGACTAACGTTCCAAAGATATAAGGCTTTTTACCAAAATGCTTATATCTGTTTTGTGTTGAGTTGTGTTCCTCGGTTTATTCTGATTCTGTTTATTCGTCACATTTAGAAATAATCACCATTCAAATCTGTGGATTATGCCTTTATAATAGAGTTCTACTGTCTAAGAACTGTTAATAACTTCATTCAGATCTGTCTTGTGTCATTTCAGAGCTGCATAGGTCCATAAGGTGAGGATGCGTGAGCTCTCTCAGATTAGCCGTGGCTCCTATCCCTGGCCTCACACCAGTTCATTAGCATGTAAATGCATTACCATAATCCCAAGGGTTGCGGTGAACCCACTGAGAAGTCAGTCCATCCTAAACACAGATGAATGAGGAAGAGCCAAGGAAGTCTGTGAGGGTAATGGTGTTTTACAAAGCTGGCTTTAGGTCTCCTGCCTGTTTAGTTTGTTTATAACTAAAATCATGACAAGACTGGTCATTTCTTTCTGGATTGTACTGTTGCTCTATGCAGGTAACAATTTTCATTACAATGTTATCTTGAGGCATACTTATGGATTACATTTGAAATGTGCATGTTCATGCTTTTTAGTTGGTAAGGCCTATTAATGGCATTGATGAAACTAATTGCAGCCTAGAATGCATAATGCTTTTGTTCCATAAATCCTCACACATGTGATTTTAATAGAATTGGAGAGATATGTGGTTGTCTTGCTTCATTGCAGCAAGAGCATTTAAGCAAATCAAAAGATTTTACCCAAAAATCAATCATCCCGTTCCAGTATGATTGTGAAAAATCATTCATGCAGTACACAATCTGGAAAAAAAATCTAAAATAAAATCAGAAGTTGACAGAACAGAGTTGAGAGTACTTAGTATATATACATAACAGTATACTTACTATCAACTTTGTGTCTATCAACTTTGATCTGTGATTTTATTGGACTAATATAAACTCAAAAATATTCATGTTTGTACATCCAAGTTCAATCATTTGAAATTAAGCTGATTAAGCTAATTAAATGAAGCTAATATATCATGTAATAGTGATTTAGAACTTTCAGAACTTTTTAGAATCTTTGGGCAAACTGAAAAAGTTAGGTACTTCTATACACCAAAATAAGTTGTATAAACTAATTTAAATATTTATCCTTTGTAAGTTCATTGTAAAAAAAATATATATTTTTCGAAGTTGTAAATAAAGCAAAGATTTCTACTTCAAAATTTCACATTTAATTCAATGTGTTACTTGCCTGTTTTCGTAATTATTTGTGAATTTTACTAAAAATTTCTGAGTGAAAATGTTCTAAGTATAGCTTACGCCAAGTGTTCCCATACTTTGCCCAAAAACACAAATTATTCAGCTGCATCATCAGTGAGCAAACAGCATGTTCTGCAGCTAGTTAGTTGGACCCACACCAACAAACTTGACATTGTAAATACATGATGTTTAATATTTTTAAAGTTTTTTTTTAAAAGAAGAACATACCACATACAATGAAATTATTGTTGTTTTTTTAAACATTTCACTCAAATTGATATGATCAAAAACATATGCAATTGAAAAAAAAATTGAAAGAAAAAAAAGTGTGTGTGTGTGTGTGCATGTTTATGTGGTTTATGAGGACACAAATTTGTATAATAACATGGGTATGACATAGGTATTACAACGAGAAGGTGATTTATGAGGACATTTTCAGTGTCCCCGTAATTCAAAAGGCTTATAAATAATTCAGAATGAGTTTTTTTGAAAATCTAAAAATGCAGAAAGTTTCCTGTGAGGGGGAGGGTTGGTGTAGGGGAATAGAAAATACAGTTTGTACAGTATAAAAACCATTACGCCTATGGAGAGTCCCCATAAACCATAAAAACAAACCTATGTGTGTGTGTATGTGTGTGTGTGTGTGTTCCACAAAAGAAAGTAATACAGGTTTGGAATGACACGAGGATGAGTAAATGACAGAATTTTCATTTTTGAGTGAATGTGATATCTTAGACAGATATAAAGTTAAAGGCTTAGTTCACCCAAAAATGAAAATTCTGTCATTAATTACTCACTCTCATGTCGTTCTAAACCTGTAAGACCTTTGTTCATCTTCGGAACACAATTTAAAATATTTTTGATGAAATCTGAGGGCTCTCTGACCCTCCCATAGACAGCAAGGTTCTAAACCTGTAAGACCTTTGTTCATCTTCGGAACACAATTTAAGATATTTTTGATGAAATCCAAGAGCTTGACCACTCATAGACAGCAACGCAACTACCACGTTCAAGGCCCAGAAACGTAGTAAGGACATCGTTAAAATAGTCCATGTGACATCAGTGGTTCAACCATAATTTTATGAAGCTACGAGAATACTTTTTGTGCACAAAGAAAACAAAAATAGCGATTTTTTAAACAATTTCTTCTCTTCCGTGTCAGTCTTCAATGCATGTTCACGACAGTACCACGACGCATGCGTGTGCATTCCTCTGCTTGTAAACAAGACGCAGCACATGCTTGTTCTACGTCAGAACGCTGGCTCCTGCATCAGCAGCACCACACACAAGCGTCATGGTACTGTCGAGAAAGCGCGGCGAAGACTGACACGGAAGAGAAGAAATTGTTGAAAAAAGTCGCTATTTTTGTTTTCTTTGCACACAAAAAGTATTCTCGTAACTTAATAGAATTAAGGTTGAACAACTGAAGTCACATGGACTATTTTAACAATGTCCTTACTACGTTTCTGGATCTGGGAACGTTTTAGTTGCGTTGCTGTCTATGCAGTGTCAGAAAGCTCTCGGATTTCACCAAAAATACCTTAATTTGTGTTATGATGATGAATGAAGGTCTTACAAGTTTGAAACGACATAAGGGTGAGTAATTAATGACAGAATTTTCATTTTTTGGTGAACTAACCCTTTAACTAATATTTGTCAGTGAGGTTCATAACACTGTAAAAAGTCTTGAAACTTGTGTCTTCTCTGCCTCAGGAGTCCGCAGTGAGGAGAATATTAATGGTTGTGATATGAACCCGTGCATGAACGGTGGCGTGTGCGAAAATCAGGATGGACAATACAAATGTCACTGTTCCCAAATGAGCTATAATGGACACCTCTATGGAGGGCCATACTGCACGGTAATCCTGCTCGGCTGTGAACGTCACTGGTGCGAGAACGGTGCCACTTGCTATCCGTACCTGGACAAAGGACGGCATCGATACAGCTGCATCTGCCCTGAGGGTTTCACTGGAACAAAATGCCAGACGTCCACCGCCTTCTCCTTTGAAGAAAGTGGATTCATGCAGGTCCAAACCAAACTCACTAATGCTTTCGAACCTTTGAATGTCACTCTGAGTTTCCGCACGTTGCAGGCAGCGGCCACTCTGCTCCAGTGCCATGTTGAAGATCAGTTTCTTATGCTGGAGTTAGTGGATGGAAGAGTACGGCATACATTGCAGCGAGCCCAGGACACTGAAAGCGTTTTTCTAGAGCTCCCGCCGATGGTCTCTGATGGCCACTGGCACACGGTCAAGGCCTCGCTGCACAACAACATGCTCGGGCTGAGTCTTACAGACCCTTCTTGCCTTGAGGACACGTGTCGTATGGAAGTACAGATTGATCGAGCAGAGCCCGAACTGGGTTCAGGTCTGTCTGAGTTAACTGTGATCCAGAATCTCTACATAGGTGGAAGAGGAGAGAATGAGACTGCTTCAGGCTTTTTGGGATGTATGAGGGATGTGTGGTTGGATTCACGCATCGTGGTGCCCGGACTGGGGCTGAGGAGTCCTGCTAAGCAACTTAATGTGAAACAGGGCTGCAGTGACTGGGACCGCTGCAAGGAAAACCCATGCCAGAACAGAGGCAGATGTGTTAAGACTGGATGGAGAAGCTTTAGCTGCGAATGCCATCGGCCTTACGAGGGCGAGCACTGTTTAGATGGTATGATTGCTCTTACATTATACTACTTGGGTTAGTTTGCATATAGAATGAACAGAATTATGGATTTAGACCCTTAAAGGGATAGCTCATCCAAAAATAAAAATTCTGACATCCTTTACTCAACCTCAAGTGGTTCCAAAACTGTATGGGTTTCTTTC